TTTACTAGAAGCCAGTTCAAATAAAGCTTATGTAATTTATAATGGCCTATTCCACAACACTTGCTAGGTTGAAAAGACCCAACTAATAAAGACACATTAACTTACAGAATCACTTAGGGGGCTAGTAACCCTTCCGCTGAGCCTATGGGTCTGGCTTTAATCAACTTTAAGTCTGCTTTTTGTTCTTTTAAACAGGAAGAATCTGATACTGAGAAAGGCTGAGCACACAGAATTTCAGATAAAATCAGTGGCGTGTTTTCAACACCTTGGAAGACCAACTTCTAAATCAATGTCAATTAATTCTGAAGTCAAACTGGTTGAGTTGAAAAGACTGAAAAAACTCAGGGGATTCTTAACTGGGCACATGGAAACTCTTAAGTCCAATTATGGGTGATAGCCACCTCACTATCACCTCCAGGAGGCTGGCTGAAAAGCAGGTTCAAGCGGTGTTTGTCTCTGCTTATCACTAGCCCCCATCCCTCAACTGGAAATTTAAAAAATATGTTTAACCAAAAATCCAACTTTCTGCTGAAATAAAGAGGGGAGGGCATAATTTGACAATTTGTACTAGTAATTACCAGGTGCAAGCCACTTAATACTGAAAGTAAAAAGCAATGATGGGATTTCCACTTAATGGATGTCCGCTTAATTGGAAAAAAATGTTTAATGGTTGGCACTGTGTCATGTTCTTACACAGAAAACATTGAAGACTGAGGGGTGGATGGGCTAGAGATCCAGGACTCCTCTCTCCCAGCACTGCTTCTTTGCAGATGGGGTTGAGATGATGGGGTGAACGGGGATTTTTTTGTTTGCTCATTGACAAACCTGCCCTAACAACTTCTGCCAGCTTTGGCCCACGTCTGCCCAGCGGGTTCCTCCTCACTCACGCGCGTGCTCACGGGCACGCATGTGCACCCACGCAGGAGCAGTGCTCAGTGTCCCAGGCACCTAACCCGCCTTTCTGGGGTTCAGGGGTGTCTCCAGAGCTGTGTGAAGCTCCAGGGGTGGTTGCTGGCTACTCCCACATTAAAATGTGTTTCTTCAAGGTGCCTTTGTCGAAGCAGAATTGCTCAGCGTAGTCCGAAAGTTTCCTCATCCCTCGTTAACTCTGTTGTTGCATTAGATGTGTCGCTGAAACAGTTTGCTGGCAATAAGGAGCTGTGAGGGAATGTGGAGAGATTTGTTTACATTGACCAGGCAAATCCCGCAGCATTTTCCATTTCTTGCTTAGATAATCCATGATCCATGAGTCTCTGGCACCTCTGGGGCCTTGCCAGACCAGGAGGGTACCTGGTGCTACCAAACCCATCCATCACCTGTCCTAAAACTATGGAAGGAGTGGAAAAGCTTTCTCCTCCCTCTGGCACCAGGTCAGCACCTGTCAGTCTCCATCCATTTCATTACAAGTTTCCAAAGTCAGCTCCAAGCATGGAGTAGCTGCCGCTTCAATTGTCCAGCTGCCGGGTATTTCCCATCTTGAGCACTGCTGTAGCATGATGTCTTCTTCAGCTCTCACAGCAGCAGCACCAGACTGCCGGTGGCCGGGTGTCATCTGAGGGCGGCTCGGGTGGCCTTTCCTCAGGCACCTCTCCCAGAAGCACGGTGTTCACCAAGGCCTGAGCCTGGTCAGCAGCCACGGCCGGTGGGATGAAGGATAGGGAGGACTGGCAGGACTGGTGGACCGGGGAAAGGAAGGAGGTAGGAGTGAGCGTGACCATATGCACCCAACGTAGAGGCACGTCGCTGCTCCCTTCCCTTGTGCTGCGTGGGGAAGGCTGGCTTTTCAGACCAAGGCATCTATCGGCTAGCTAGCAACTGAAGCAGTGGGGGTTTTTTGATATTTTTAATTGTTCTGGATAACTTTTTTAGCCATACTGAAAGCTGTGTCGTGTGGAAGTAGAAACCAGGAAGGTTTATCAGTATAACTGCGTGGAGGGACAGCAAATTCCTCCAAGTTCAAACACAGCTTAGGTTAGTGAGAAAGTGTTTTTACCAGTATAGTTTTGGCTAAAAGAAGCTGTATGAGCAGAGTCACGCTTAGTGTGATACAACTGTGACTGGGCTTTTGCTGATACAGAAAGGTGGTTTCAGAAAGCCAACCTCCAGACTCCACTCGTGGTCGTAGGGCCAGTTACACTCATGATTCCAGGGCAGAACTGCCAACTCTTTCAAGCCGGGGACACATGTCCCTAGCTGTTGTGCCATGGCTGAATTCACGAGAGGGCAAGCTGCACAGAGGTCTGTGGTTTCACACCTGCTGGTGTGTTCTTTGGGCTTTGTCTGTGGAGTGACACCTGGCCGGCCGTGGGTCTGCGGCGTGGCACTGGCACCGTAGGGATGGGCTGCCTCTCCCCCTCCCTTCCTTTTCAGCAATGGAACCAGTCTGAGGGCAGCAGCCCCTACACATGGTGGCTGCAGCGGTATTTTCCTTTGGGATCTGTAACGGTCTGAGACCTGCTCCTCATCTGCGGGCTGGGAGCTGGCTGTGCGCAGGGAACATCCACTGGAACATCTCTGAGGTCCAGTTGTGCAAGGACTCACCACCTGCAGCCTCTCTGGGTACACCTTGACTGGACAGCGGCTGTTATGGCCGGTCCTGCCCGTGATGCCCAGACAACGAGGCTGTCTCACGCACTGCCATCCACGTAGACTGGAAACAACAAGTGTCCTAGGTCCTTCTGGTCTCAGACCTGGCGGAAGGTGGGTAACCGTGACCCTGTGGTCCTCTGCAGCTTCAGGGCTCATTCTGTTCAGACCCGTTTCTCTAGTAAAACTACTAACCGAAAGAACAACTGTTGGGTTTCCATCTCACAACCCAACAACGTTGCAAAGTATACCTGGCCTGCTTACCCTAGATCTGATTTTACTGTGTCAGAGGTAATAAAGTGGCAAAGAAAAATGAAGCATACGGTGATGTTCCAGGGGGAAACAATCCGCTTGGAACAGGACCCACACAGAAAATACTGGTCTTGTCTCATTTTGAAAGTCCTCTCTCCTCCCAGTTCATGGGAATTTTTGCTGATGTCTTTAATGAGAAATATCAGATCCTTGTTTAATGGGGATTTCTGAATTTGTGAAATACCTACTGGAAGTGTTCCTGCAGCCAGTAAGGGTTCTCACAACCATACTTCGTGTGGTAGAGGAGGAGGAAGGAAGTTTGCTACCATACATGCAGGAATATTTCTCAACAGAGGAGTTTCCCCACCCACACTGCCAGCATGACAGTCTCTTCAGAGGACGTCAGCTCGGGGCTCTACAACATGTGTACTTCTGCTCCCTGCTGATGGGAGAAGAAGATACTCCAGCGTGTTTAATACACCCTGTAGTACTTGCTGCTCTTGTTCTGTTGACTTGCATCACTGCAGCACTTTCAGGCCCCAGGCACAAACAGGAACGCAGCTGTGCCGCATTTGCTCTGAGAGCAGAAGAAGATAACCCTTTCCTGAGGAGGTTGTGGCTGAGGACATCTCTTTCGAAAATGCAGCAGGGAGCTTCAGATTTTGAAACAGGAGGATGTGGAGGGATCGCCGACACCTGCACACTGGCCCAGTTTAACGCCTGGGATCAAAGTGTCCAAACGCTTTTGGGATGACTTGAATGTGAAATGCCTCTGGTAGTCTAGACTTGAGGATCCTTGGCCATGCCCTGGCAGCTACATTAGGGTGCTCCAAGGAGAGCCTGGTCTGGAGCCAGCTCTGTTCAAGAATTGACTAAGTAGGATGAGGGTCTTCAGTATGGAAAAGAAACAACTGAGACAATACATAGTAGAGGTTTGCAAGCCGTCTGAACATGAGGAAGAACATGAGGAAGGCAGGGGGGTTGGACTAGATGACCCACAGAGGTCCCTTCCAACCCTGACCAAACATTCTGTGATTCTGTGAAGCCGAAGACTGGCACAGAGGGTGTGGGTGGGGATCAACTATTCACCATCTACTGACTTTATCAGAGCTAGTTGAGAATAAAACAGAATAGGAAGAAAGGGCTTGAGATCCTCAACCAAAAAGAGGTCAAATCCTTGATTCTCAGGCAAAACTCTCCTGAAATGTGCCCAGACAGGGCCTGAGCAAGCAGGGTGGGTCTGTTGTCCCGTCTTTGGGACTTTGTGACTAGGTCCATTCTGGACCTGCTCTGGACTTACTGAATGGCACCACTTTTTGGCAGCTACCCTGTGAAGGTTCTTAATTCTTAGCAGCGAATGCCGGAGTCTGGAAGGAGGTGAGAGGAGACCTCTCTGTAACTTCCCTGCTTCCTGTGCTCTATCATCAAACACCTGCTGATGTCTATGGTCAACAATAGGATATTGGGATGGACGGACCTCTGGTCTGAACCCTGTGGAACTCTCCTGTCGATGTTGTAAGACAAAATGGGAACCTTATTGAGTGAGGGGTGTAGCACCTGGGCTGGACCTTCCACATCTCCAGCCGAGTGAGGGGAATTCACCAACCGGATGCTAGCGCTGACCTCATTTTGTGGATAAATACTAATCTGTGTTTTCTGAGGGTGTGGCACAGTTCTTCTAGGCAGTGCTATGGGAATTAAGAGAATAAATCGATATTCCACACATAGATTCAGTCCACTTCTTATTCATGAGGTTGATAACTGCAAATAAAAAAAAAAAAGTCTGAAAGGCTGCCTGTTTCAGGAAGTGTAGATGGCTTTGGGTGGATTTCTGCATTTATACACCGTGGCCAAAATACAGGGATATAAAAAAAGCAGTGTTTTTCCTTTCCCTTTTTCCCTACGTACTCATAGTGTAAGAGCTTTTCTGTTTTGTAAAAACATAATGCGCTTGATTCAGGGAGAGTAGTTCCAAAAAGCAGAATGTAACTAAAATGAAATAGACAGGACACATCAAAATCAAGGCATTTAATAGAATAAAAACATCTTTTTTTCTTCCCTAAAAGTTGTGATAAAAAGGTGTAAATATACATTAGTTCAAAACCAAGAGAAAGCTCCCTGTTCTAAGGGTACATTGTAATTTTTCAAAGCAATGAAACCGACTAGACAAATGTATTTGGAGGATTGGACTGAATAGGCCAGGCAAGCTTCTTTTCCTTTGCTTCTCTGTTAAAAGCATCATAGATGGAGTCTTTGGTGACAGTTTTGGCCGGAGCTGGGTTTTCTTCAATCCCAATGTGATTTTTTTTGGCTATCCTGGAACTGGTGGTGATGGTGTATGCGTTGCTTCTGTAGCATTTCATGGCAGACATGCAAAACGTTTCTTTCACGCCTCTTCTAAAGTTTGCATTATATATGGAGTAGAGGGTTGGCTTAGAGGCCGAAGAACTGAAAGAGATCCACGTGATGGCCAGGAAAACCAGGGAGCTCTTTCTGTAGTCTGTTTCATGTGGGTGCCACAGCTGTACCACATAAAAAGGGAGCCAGGACAGGAGAAACAACGAGTTTAACATCAAGAACATCTTGATGGTTTTCACCTTCGTTCTTGGGACAATATTTGTTGTCCTCCTGACAGTCCTGCCATCAGTGCCTATCCTCCAAATGTACTTGATGACCTTGTGGTAGAAGAGGATAATGAGGATGGATGGGATTAAAAACACCACCAAGAGGTGGGTGATACCGTAGACAGCTGCTTCCCAAGAACTGGGTAGAAAAAAGTTGCAGTGGTCACTGCTGTTAGAGCCATAGAAAAAGAAAGCCGATGATGCAAACATAGCGACAAACAGCCAAGAGGCCAGAATCATTCTCTTGGCTTTCTCCCTGGACACTTTGAAGCTCAGGGGGTAGACGATAGTGTAGAATCGATCCACACATATAGAGAGGAGCACGTATATCTGGACTCCAGGGGTGACGTACTGTATGTACCTTACCAGCTTGCACATCACGTTCCCCAGCGTCCACCTGCCGTAGGTTAACTGGAGCAGCACGAAGGGAACACTTGTGACACTGATGAGAAGGTCTGCACAGGCCATGGAGACAACAAAATAGTTGGTGGTGGATTGTGTCCTCCTGCTCCTGTGGATCACTAAGCAAACCAGGGAGTTTCCAAAGACAGAAACCAGCCACAACACTCCCAAAACCATGCTGGCTGCTGCAATTTCCACCGGCCTCAGTTCATACTGCGAGACAGTGTGGTTCCTGCTTGAACTGGGTCCTACGGGTGTCTCTGTCATCTCGTAGCCAGTAGGAGGGATGGAGGTTTTCGGGTAGCTCTTGTTCTGCAGAAAGAGCAATAAGGTGGGGAGAACCAAGGGACCACTGCTATTATCCATGCTGTGGGCAAACATGACCACCTCTTTTGCTCAGGCTGTAAAAGAAAGAAGAGAAAAGGTTTTTGTTTTGTAAGTATGTACAAAAAACCCTATCTTAACCAATCAAAGATAATTTAAAGTAGTATACGCTGATTTCAGAAAAATGGTCAGAAGCATATGGTGAGACTGGTAGAGCAGAGGCTGTCAGTTTTCATGCAGACTTTTATTAATGGCCTGACTGTTTTAGGACAGGCATTTCTGCCCTCTGAAAGTCCCTTTCACAGATAGACCCCAAGGTGCAGGTTCACCAATGCTGATAACCTGCAAACTGCGTGAGTGGAATATGCCCCACTGATCCCAGAGATGAGCTGTACTTCCCAGTGACCATGGAAGTGGCAAAAACCAGACCAACAGTGTCCCTGCTCCCTTGGCTTGACATAAATCCATCAAGTAGGTAGGCAAAGGAGATGTTTCTTATTCCAAGAGTTTGAATGGGAAGTGATAGACAAGGGGAGAGCAGTGGATGTTGTCTGCCTCGACAGGGGTTGGACTAGATGACCTACAGAGGTCCCTTCCAACCCCTAACATTCTGTGATTCTGTGATATTTTCAACAATAATAGCATCTTCATTGATAAAGATACTAGCAGCCAAATCCTGCTCCCATCCAAACGTTAGTGCCACTGGTGTTTATATCCCTATATCCCTGAAATTTTTGGTTCTGGATATAATTCTGGAAGGTAGGCAAGGTCTGGATTTGAAGGCAAAGGAAAGATCAGCACAGTGGAAGGACTGGCACCAAGCTGGGTGGGCACTCCTCACCGTGAATCCTCCTCAGCCCTTTCACAGTGAGGAAATTTTCGTCAAGAGTTAGTCATTGTATGCCTGAACAAAATCAGTAATCTGTCTACTTTCTAAACGGTGTTTTTCACCTGCATGTATGCTAGTGTGACCTCTGTATTACTGAGCTAGCACTGAAATACAGGTTCTGGGATGAAACTATGGCTGGTTCTTTGTGGTAGGTATGGTACCCACCATGGTACGTAACAGCTATTACCTCCTGTTTTAAGGAAGAGTGAGGCAAGAATGGATATATTGCTAGACAGAGTTTCCAATCTTGGATTTAGCCAGATGGTTGGGTTGGTCCTAACCTATTACAGGGATAAAATAGAAAAATACTTAATATTAGTGGCTATGTGTATGCAAACACCTTGCTGGGGGCTAATGCTCCAAAAAGTGTCCCTTCTGTGATGGTGTTGACATGCAAATCATCTTAATCATTAAAAATGGAAAGTCTGTTTCTGTGGGTATATTGTGTGAATGCTTAACCTTAAAGTCTTGATACTGTGCAAATAAATCAAGATTCAATTAATGATTCTGAAGATCAAAAATTTCATCCCAGAAGCCAAATGGACAAGTTCAAAAAGCCAGCCCCAGCCTCCTCAGCTTTCCACGTGGTTCAATTTCCCAGCTTTTCTCTCTAAGGCTTTTTCTCAGTGTTTTGCTGAGGCGTTTTGCTCTGCCTACTCTAGCTCTGCATCTACCACCAATTACTTTCTCCTTGTCTGCCAACTCAGAGCGGAGCCTGAAAGCACAAAGCCACCGGATGAATTTGGGATCTTGCTCATTGCGCTGTTTTGCGTGTCATCTTCAAGAAAGCAACGCAAAAAAATATTCAGATGTGGAAGAGGAAAAGATGTATTAAGTGCTTGGTGTGGTTAGAGGAGATTTTTTTTTTTTGTCTAGTTTTTTAGATCCTGTATTCATTAGCTGTGCTTAATATAACATTGTGTGTTTCACACGAACAGGCTTGAAGTACCATCAGCTGCAGAGCACAGGCATAAATGTAGCGTGCTTGGAAACGTGTTCGAGAGCAGCACAGCGTGGCTGCACGGACACAGCCAGCCTGCGTAGCTGCAGCCACGCTGCCGCAGGACCCCACTCTGCCTCTCCCCTTTGCCCCGCACCCCCCCCAGCCGCTGACTCCCTGTTGTCCAAAAGTGGGTCAACGCCTGAGTCACCCGTGCTGCTCCCAAAGCGGTTGGCCTGATTTATCAGCTTTCGCATTCAGGTAGCGTCTGGGAGCTGAAAACGTGGCTTGGGTTAAGCTGGACTCATAGCTGAAGCAGTTTGAGGCTAGTAACAACCGGGTGCGTTTCGGTGGGGCATGGTAAAGAAGGAATTTTGCATGGCACCCTCCCGTCACTCGGAGACACCGGTGAGGAGACCCAGAAGCGAGTATCGCGGTGGTTGAGCTGCCGACCGCCTGCGACGGGCGCCGTGCATTTGGTCTGCAGATGATACCCTGCCCCTCGTCCCGTCTTCTGCTGGAGGGCTGCACAGTGCTGCCCAGCCCTGTCTTCGCTTCCCCCTCACCCTTATCTGCCTTCCCTCATTGCTTTCTTGGTAGCTTTGCCTGGGAGATGATTCCTGGTTTCTTAGACAGCTTTTCCCCACCCTCCGTCGGGTGAATCGACTCCCCTGGAGATCTCCTGCCGCCATCAGCTGTCTGCAGGACATTTGGGCTGCCGTCTCCAGCAGAATGGCAAGATGCATTGACAGTACAACCCGCTAAATTGCATGTTGGAATTATCTGTAATAGAATAATACATGTGGAGCCTATTAACCAGATAGAAAAGAAGATTATGGGCTAATTTTCTTCCTTAATTTCCCTTCTTGCCATGCAGAAATACATGCCATTTAAAAATAGCCAGCTGCATAAATTATGCTCCATAGAAAAATAACCAGATGAAATTCCTTGACCAATATTGAAGAGTGGTGGAAGTCAGATATAAGAATGAAATGACCTTCCTAAGCCTTTAAAATACACAGACTTGCTAACATGGTTCTCATGATATTTCTCCTGGTCAGTGAAATCTGTTGTCTGTGTCTGTCCAAACCTATGACTTTCAGTGATGCAGGTGGATAAACAAAAAAATAGTTATGTGGTTATAGCACTCAAATAGTATCTTTTTTCCTGTTGCATTTTGCCTAAAAGTCAGCCCGACCATGGTTTACTGGATAACTCAAGCTATCTGCAAACACTCCTTTGGGAAGACAGGAATTCAGCAGCCCCATCGGGGAACAGTACGTAACACCCTCAGAGGCATGCGTGGAGACCTAACTGGTGGGTGCCTACAGCAGAAGGAGGATGGCAAGAGGTCTAGCCAGCGGTCTTGTGTTGGAGCTTTGCTAACAGAGCAAGCAGTATCTGAATGGGAGAAGCCTTGCTGTGGGCCACCCTTCACCGGAGACCGTGTGCTTGTGTTGAGAGCTAGGGTAGTTGGTTACGGGTCTCCAGTGGTGGTGGTGGTGGTTTCCTCACTGTCAGTGAAAGAGAAGAGGCATCAAACACAGGTGCAAGTAACACTGTATTTTGTGATTCTTTCTTCCTTGGAAAAATCCAGAGTCATTCAATATGCTGTCCGCAAGGTCTAGGTGAAAATAGAAGTGCAGCAGTAGGGTCTTTGACTACCCTGAGAATAGGATTACTGTGGTTGAACAGCAATTACTTCTTTTTTTTTTGAAAAAAAAAGAAAGTAAAAGCTGTCTGATTAACCAATGTGCTCTGCAATTCCTGAATTCCTAGCCAGGCATAATTTTTCCTTCTAATGGACCAGAAGCTGGTGTCCTTTCATGTTAAAGGATCTCTATTCAGTTCAGTGGACTTCATCCTATGTTTCCTAGGTGGCACCGAGATCAGAATTGTGCCTTGATTTGGCACTAAGAACCATAGCGTCTATATCCCAGCAAAACTTTTACTTCTGTGGGCAAGTATGGTTTTTACAGTGGAGACTTAAACTTCTGCATTAGAAGCAATGCTGCTAATGGTAACATGGGTATGAAAAGCTCAGTGTACACACCGCTCTGTATGGGCCTAGGATGCAAATAACTAGAGGTTCTCTATCTTGCTATATTGCGTACGCCCAACTCCCATGTCCCCTTTTGCTGCCTTGTTTACTGAAATACAGTTTAGGTGTTAGTGAACTGTTCAACTTGCAAATATCAGACCCATAAGAAAATAGCGATGAGCTCTTTTGTGTCCCTCTGCCTTGCGGGTCAATAAGCTGGTATTAGAAACACAAAAAGTTAACATTGCGTACAGCAAATACGTGAGGCCTACCTACATTCCTACTTAACAAAAATGCTTTTGTTTGATTTTCCATTTAAACCCGTATAATACTGAGCTGAGTGAAAGGATCCTTTCTAGTAATTGTGAGTCTGCATGGATGCAGCAGTGCCAAAAATCTCAGTTTTTCTTTTGAACACTTTAGAGCTGGAATCCTTTTAAAACTGGTATAAGGACTTCCTGTATTTTTGTTTAAAACCCTACATTTTGTGCATTGGCTTGGGAAAAAAAGGTAGGTGAAATGACTCAGAATCATCAAAGAGGGATTTCCTGGTGCCACAGTTCCTATTTTATAGACTTTGATTTTCAGGTTGAAGGCCTGTACACCGCATTTTCAACGCTATCCCTTTGGGTTGATAGCAAAGGAAACATATTCTTGCAGACTCTCCCAAACAGGTCTGTTACTTAGAGAAGTGTTAGAACCACGAGAACTTCATAAAATCACTGCTGCATGTACTTTGCTGTTGTACAAAGCCCATATGGCATAGTTACTATGTGTTTGAGTGTTTACTGTCCTGTCTAGAAATACAGCATCCATTGCAATTTAGAAGAGTAAAACCTAATAAGATTCAGAAAGGAATGCAAAAAATGGCTTTTTTAATATTTAATCAAGAGAATACAACAGGGTTTTTTTCCCAGTCACTGTTTCTTAGGGTAAAAAAGGTAGCTAAAGAAGCAGATCATTGTACATTACTTAACCTAGCACTAGCAAGAGGGGGGTTTTTTTATTCAGCATATTTTACCTCTCTGCATCATAACTGCAAAACACCAGGCAAGCTTTGGCCCAGCAAATAATTTTGAAAGCATTAGGCTGGTCATTAACTCCATAAGCTTCCCTTTCTGAAGAATATCTCAGGAATAGCTGCCAAGCTGGAAGAGGAACGCTTCATCTAACTGAGTTTAATAGAC